TAGTATTCGTAGACATAACGATATCAAATCGTAAAAAGATATGCATGACGAGATGCAAAATAATTTTAAAGAAAATAGCATTTGTCTCAAATCTTTGAAAATTCGGCATGGTATCGAATAGCTAAAATATAAATTGTAAATCAAATGTTACGATGATGGGATTATTGTGCAAATAGTGATCCCAAGTGGAATAAGTAGTTATTAGGCTGGTCAGGAGTAACCAATGTGGTGGGCGCTATTTGCTGTTTAATAGGATGGCTGAGAAGAGATAATATGCGATAGGTAGTTATATGTAGTAGCCTCATCTGTCAACTCACTTAAAAAGTTTGACAAAAACGATAAGAACTTTAAAGGTAAGAAGTGCAATGATCAATTATCATGAGTTTACACTGATCAATGAGATCAATCATCAAAGTCAATCTTGTTTATAAATGCCTAATAAATTGCTGAAATGTTCTACACCAATATTTCAAGTATGTTGGAACGATGAAAAAAGCTTGATAAGTGATACTTCATGAACTGATCAAAAATCAACAAAATCGTCACTTTAAAATGAAAATATTGTCATATTTTATGTGGCGACATGATCCGATCAGCTTTTGCTGTATGATGAAAAGTGATTATGTTTGATGATTGAACTGATAGGAAGCTCTGAAGTTCATTTCTCAAAGTGAACGTTTTGCCAAGAATCGATTATCACGATTATGTCTGTTGGTCTTCTGCTTTTCTGAATCCTATCGGAATGCATACATTTGAGAAGTTTCACTCAGCAATTCAGTGAGATATTCTGAAAACTGTGATGTCTTCAGCTGGCATTATCAGGAGAAAAGGGCCAATTTGCCGCTACATTTCCTGACGAAACAGCAAACGCTACCTTAGTTGACGGAATTGAACTACTGAAGTTTTCCCAAACCCTTAAAAGCCATTATTCTTTCTTCATGAGCTTTGAATTTGTTTCAACATTGCAATCTTACAGTTCAAATCTCAGTTTGTCTTGTCATCACCTACGTCATCTTTATGCAATGAGTTTTATCATTTCTCAGACGCCATTTTTTGAACAATACTTACTGTCGTTTTCTTTAATCAGTTATCCCACTTTACAAACTAAGTTTTGTCATTTGAGATTATCAACCATTAACCTTAATATAATCCTTCACATTGCAAAACTTTCCCAGTCTTTAACTGAATATTTTTTCAGTGGTAAGAGTGGTACAATTATAGCATGTTCCGATCATTAAACAAATGGCAGAAATTGGGTACATCCATATCATCCCGAAACTTATTATCCACCACTACAAATAATTTGGAGAATTCACTGATTTGCCAAGAATTATTGCCGAATACAGTGGAAGAAATAGGAATACCGTATGCTATTAAGGTAAGTTGTTTATTTCCGAACTCGTGAAGCTGATCATTATTAACTTTAGAGCGTCAGTTCCATGACGATAGTCCGAATCGAAGTTTTGATACTTCCCTCATTTGTACCTCCTGGACCAGAGTTAGTGAACTAATTTTTCAGTACATATATGGTTCACGATAGAGTTTTTCTCCGTATTCTTTCTGCTTATTTACTTGCTTATTCCTTAATATTCGCTTATTCCTTATTTGTTTTTTATTTATTTATTTGTTTATTTATTTAAATAATTATTTTACTTATTTCTTTGTCAGTATATTTATTTATTTATTTTTTGTTTATTTATTCGTTTATTTATTCACTTATTTGTTTTAGTTATTTATTCATTTATTTATTCGTTTTTTTATTTATCATTAATTACTATCACAAATTCAGTAAGATAATCAGTAAGATAGTAAACCATAGATAGCCTAAACATTGTGTATATTAAATAATTGAACGTCCAATATTGTTTGCTTTTTTCCGAGCAAAGAATTTTAGCGCAGCCCAACTGATTTGCTTCGTGCACTGGCGGATACAGTTGGTGTTGATCCAACAGCTCCACATTTTGCCCTTATCGATGATCCATTGACGATTCCCACAGATTCACAGCGCGATTTATATTTTGTTGCCAAAGTATGATACATTTTCATTCATTTTCTTTTGTTTTTTCTGATGAAAGTATAAATGAATGAAAGACTCTCCCTGATTATCTGGTATGGTTGTACTTTTTCCATCTCACCCAACAAAAAAGAATTAATGCTTCGCTAGTTGTTTAATATTGCGTAGGCATGCAGTTTAAATATCTCTTACAGTACTGAACTGTTTTTTCCTATCCTTCATAATGATAGAGGCATCACTGAAACACATCATAGATTAATGAACGGCAGCATTAATGAACGGCAAAATTATATTCATTTGATTCGCCTGTCAGTTGAAAGATTTGATAAACGAGAATTATTCGAAATCAAAAGTTAGGATATTTACAGGAAATGGGACGTCGTGCAGCTCAACAACTTGCCCAAGAATGGCCAACATTATTCATGTATGATACAGATATACCACGTATTCAAGCTTATCGACCGCAGAAATCACCCGATGTCTCTGAGATTGCACCTACCGTTGAAAATTTACAAAAATTGATAGCATTAAAAGAGGTGGTCGGTGCAAATCAATTATATGATAAATTGGCCGCTGAAAATGTAACAATACCTCGCGAAGTATTGGTCAGTTATCTTGTAGTAATTACTTGAATTTTCAAATGACTTTCTTACTCGAGTAATTACTCGAATTTTCAAATGATTTTCTTTATGAATATTGAATGTTAGCAAGCAAACCATTTGAACTATTGATACTTTTACTAGCGGTTCAGTGAATGGAGCAGCTTGATAATTGGCATTTTCAACCGCTTTTGATTAACCGACGATTTCAAAGCTTTTGATTAACCGACTATACAGTTGTGCCAACTGAGTTGTGCATTAATTGAGGAAATGGCTGAACGATTTTTGTTTGTTGTAGAATCATTCAAATTTGGGATAAAAGTATCTCTTTAAAAAATGTTCATACAAAATGTTCGAAACCGTCCATGTTTTTCAGTTTTTTATAAAGGTTTCAAACTATTTAAGGTTGATCTATTTCGCTTGTTGGTTTACTATAACGGTAAGCCAATCCCAGCTTCTGAAATGTTGTGGCATGGATGGCGAAATTATGGTTGTCAAGTGGAACAAGAACCAGAAATGTGGGATAGTGTGAGTTTCTTAGGATTTTAGTTGAAATTTGATGGAATGTGAAAAAAGGTCCACTATTTCAAAATCCAAAATAAGAAATTTTAATTAGATAATAAACACTAATGTATCACATTTGTTGATCATTATTATCGTTTTTCATTACTATTAGTATTTTTGTCATCATTCTTTTCATCAATTTTTGTCGTCAGTTTTGGGCTATCCACCGTGAAGTGAAGGGTGATACCGTAAATTTGTTTTTCAAGTGAGACAGAACTTGTGTTCTAGGAACTTTGAGCAGGTCAAAATTTATCCGCTTGTTGGTTAAATAAAATCAGATGTTCCGAACTGCTAAAATTTCAGTGAAACTGCTAAAACTTCAGTTGAAGGAATGGTATAGTAATAGGACATTATGAGTAATAGATCGCCTTCAAATGACTGATAGCCGACCATATTTTATGAGACACGGAAATTGTGATCAACGTCATTTTAAAAAAATATGTTGCTCCTAAATAACTGAATTATTATCTTGGCGATTGGGTGCAAAAATCTATAATAGGGTTGCTTCACATTCTTTAAATTTTTGAACCTAAATTCATTATTTGATGACCTTTCTGTCTCCCAAGAAGAATATGATGTAAATAATGTTTCGTTGATTTCATTGATAATTAATTTCATCAGGGTGGTGCAGCTGATCTTTTATTCGAAGAGCTTGAAAAAGATAAAGAAATTTATTCCCTAATGATAGCTGGATTGTGTAAATATAGTAACGCTGAATGTACTACACGTGCGTTGGAACTTTATAAGGTATAAACTTTTAACTACTTTGTAAGTATTCAGTTGTGTTTTCGTCGGCAATTATGTTTAAATTCTTGAGAATATTTAATGTTTAAGGAAATGCGTGAGAAAAGTTTTGTTCCAACTGTTGAGGCATACTATGGTCTTATTACAATTGCGAAGACTTGGCAGGAAGCGATATTTTATTTGAAAGATATGGCACAAAAGAGTATTAAACCGAATATTCGGATTTTCAATGCTTTAATCGAAAAATCTATATCAGTTGTTAGTTTCATATATAGTAACGAAATACTTTATTTTTGCAAATTTTTTTCCTTTATTTTCTCAATCACTAATGTTTTCTCTTTTTGCAGTCCATTTTGGGTTATTTGCTGTTCATTATGTAGTTTCTTTGTTGTACATATTATTTACTTTTTCTTTAATTGTTGATGACTTGGAGGAAAAACTTGCAGCAACTGCGTGATCAGTTTAATACAGCAATCAAGATATTGAATGAAGCAACGACCGTGGGATGTAAGCCAAGTTTACGTACGTATTCGTTGTTGATGAGGAGTTGTTTAAAGCAGAGGAACATTAGCAAGGTAAAGTGCATTTAAATTGATCTTTTTGAAAGGAACCACGTATTATTTTAATATTTGACAAGGCTTATGTTGTTTTTACTTTCATCAGTTATTGAAAATGTTGAATCTATATTTTTGCAGTCTGTTTGCTTAGCTCATCTAGTGCATATTTTGGCCGAACTTGAGCGGACTGAAGCAATTGAAATGTTGGAAAAAGGTGATGAAGAATTTTTCACTAGTGCGATGGATTTTGCATTACAAACGAGGAATATTGCAGTTGCAGAGAGAATATTAGCTCTCTATCGTGCACCAAACAATTATGTTCGTTTACCTGCTTTTCTGGGAGAAGCGGAGTACGTTTTGTTTGTAAATTTAATTTTGATTCATTTTCAAATACTTTTCGCATGTCGAGATTCTGATGAATCAATTGAGTAAATTAAATGATAAATCCTTGATTAGCTCCTTTTCGGCGTGCAGCTATGCCAAAAACAGCAAACTGCACTGGATGGCTAATGCTGAAAAACGTGCTGGTATTCATGATAAATGTTTCGGTTGATCGTTATTTACAGGAGAGAACTTGTGATTTAGGTTATGATTTTTTACCTGATCAGCCGGTCATATTTTCCAAATTGCTTTTCATTCACCTTCTTTCAAGATTTTATGGATTATACCTACGCATTGTGATTAGTCAGTTGTCTTTGCAAGAGCTTGAAAAACAATATATGTCACTGGTCCCACGAGCTGTTCCATTCTCTAATAATTTGGCTATGATTATGCTTCGGAGATTACAGGTTTGGTAGAATTACCTTTGATTAAAATTGTTGCAAATTTTTTGCCGGGTAAATTTTTACTAGCACATTTTGACCATTCTAATTTTGATCCAGAATTTAAAAGAAATTTATAACAAATTTATAACCATTCTAATTTTGATCCAGAATTTAAAAGAAATTTATAACAAAAAATCTCCGTTTTTACATTCAAGACGTAGTGAATCTGGAAATTGTATTCAGACCGAAAAGAACGTGCCGTGGTTATTCTCTCGCCGATTGATTGAAGATTTTATTACGAGCCGACATATTTTGCGGCCGCATTTAAATCAACTTTTACGCTCTTATTTGCTCAGTATGGATTTAAAGGTGTTTCTCCTACTTTGTTTGATATTTGTTCAATCTTGCTGATGGATTGTGCTTAACTTAGCGGTTTTCTGACTGTTTTGAGTTGTGCAGTTAGGCTTTGCATCTTATTAACTTTGATTAAATAGTTCTGGAACTTTCGGGCCGTCTAAAATTTGGAACTTATTCTGTCTTGAAAAAATTGCACACTACAGATTTCAACTTCAGGATCATACAACGGCAATTATTTGGGCCCTTTATGGTGATTCTATTTGTCTTATATATTTTCAGAAAATGACTGTGGAACAGAAAGAAGAGCTTCGCGATTTAGTTGTCAAAATTGTTGATATTTTTGTGGAAATAAGTCGGTTTTCGGAAATAAAGCGCTTGCAGAAGATTCAGAAGAAATTGGAGCCTGATTTTGTTAGTTGTATCTCTTTGAGGATGGAGAGAAGACGATTAACTTTTAGTTTAACTGTTCAAGTCTCACTTTAAGATTGAGTTTGTTTTACTGATACTTGAATGGTGCTAGTAATCAGAACATCAATTTAGGGTAAATTGTGAATATTTAATGTCGAAAATTTTCCTATTTTTAATGGGAGCAATATAGCATTGTTATCTATAACAGATAGCAGATATGTCGTTGATGATGATAAAACTGGATGAAAGGGAACGTGCATGGAAGTTTCTAGCTTTGTTACTAGATGAAGAGGCAAAACAGGGTGAAGCTGCTACAGTTAGCAATGAAAGTATGTGTTTACTTGTTTGTTTTTAATTTTTGTATTCGTTACGCCAAATAAGATTCATTGAAGATTCGTCATCTAACTTCCGATTTTAATGTTCCTTTATTTCAGGATCTCCGAATTATGAAATTTTGAATTTATTGATGCAGGAGGCACTGAATGAAGGTAATTGGTATAATGCGAGCTGTTGTTTGCAAATTATGGCATTGTATTCACTCTCAGAGAATTTGAAGTCGGAGGCAGATCGTATCAGTAAACATTGCAACTTAACGTCGATACAGAGGAAGATTTTAGAAAATTTTATTGATGTAAGAACTTAAAGATGCAGTAAATGTCGCATAATAGATTTCTAAAAAATGTTCTAACCAATTAGAATGCTCGTTTGTGCAACTGTTTTATATGGGAATGCATATCCTGCTCAGCTGGAAGTCAAGTTCCTCAATGAAACTGTGACATTAAATGTTAGGACAGCTTCCGGATACTGATTGAGCTGTTACTAGCTGTGATTCTGGTAAAACTTATAATCTGATGTCAACCGTAATCCTAACAACGGTAATAGTAATGATAATGGTAATAATAACTGATAATGATTGGTATTAATTATTATTCTATCATATTTTAAATTTCATTAGGTTCTATATCATAGTTGCAGGTATGAGATTCCGCAGTTTCTTTTCAATTTCGTTAATTTATTTTGGCACCATCTGTTAGTAAATGATGGCTTTTGTAAATTTATGATTTGACATCATGAAAAATATAATGAATAATGTGCTCTGGTTTATCATTAAGAAAGAGATCAGTCTATATGGATAAGGTTCCTAAATCTTTAAGTAATTAAATTGTTTTTAAACTCCTTATGATAATAGCGTTTATTTGCTAACATCAGTTATCTTTTTGCTCAAAAAGAAAATTCTTCGTAACATAATAGGTATCAGAGTTATTGGTCCCTAATTTTTCAATTTCCGTGCTGAGCAGTATCCAGGCGGATTGGAATTGCAAATCCGTTGTGAATCATTTGTTAATCATTTGTTGAGGTCAGTTTCTATTCCCTTTCATGGCATAATTCTAACATTTACAGATAATTCAACAAGTACTTTTACTTATTTTTAATGGATTTTTGCCTCATGCGATGATCTTTGGTAACATTTTATACAGTGTTAGGTGAAAATTTCTCTTTGAACTAGTGAAAAACATAAATGTTGTGCTGATAAACTATCGTTCACTATTGTACATATACTTTCAAAGTTTGAATAAAAAATGATTATGAGTAGTATACTTGTAATGGATAAAAGTAAAACCAAAGATTAAAAGAAACATCGGATCCGGTAAATTGACACAAGCATTTTTGTATTCTATATAGAATAGATGAAGCCATTCAAATCTCAGGACTTCCGGACGAGTATTTTGCTTCAGAAATGATTCATTTATTGGATGAAAATAGTGGTGCTATTTGGTTGTGTTAGATTAAAATACTGCAAATTAGCTTCAGACGATTAGCAATTTGTAATCAGGAATAGTTGTGCGACATTTCTGTTTATTTGATCATGTCTACTTTCCTGTATACTTTTTATTACTTCTTGCAAATAGGTTGGTTACTGTCATATGTAAAGGGCATGAATTCTTACAGGTAAATTAATTGTCAATTAAGTATTGAAATTTGTAAGTTGTAATGGATGATGATTGCCAATCATTAGCCATGCTAATGTGATTTATGAAAATGACTCTCGATTAAACCATTTATTTGCACAAATCATTAAATACGGAATGGTTCAGGAATCTATTCCGGTTCAAGTATGCATTTATATATGCTTAGATTTCCGAAACTGATTTGCATTTTCGGCAATGGAATTGTGAGAAGATGTAAGTTAATTTTAATGCAGAAATTCCGTATCATAATCATTCGCAGCATTACTGGTTTGGATATTCAATGTAATGATTCTCTTAATGATGACTCATTCATGTTAAGTTATCATTTCTTGTAGATGATTCATTCGTTGGTTTTTTTTTCCTGGAATAAGCAAATAATGATCCCACAAATGAAGTACCATGATATCAACTGTTTAATCATTCAATTTTCATCCGTCAATCACTTAATTAATTAGGCTCTTAGAAGACATTTGTTTAGCTTATAATTTACAACACAGAATTGAAAAGTTAAGGAAAAAAAAATTCGTTCTTTTCTTTTTGCTAAAATTAATTTTAAGGATAACTTTTATCCTGAAATTTTGGCTTATTTTTCAGCGAATATTTACACTCCTAAAAGGATTGAAGGAACCTTTGAAATCACTGATAATTAAGTATTATTAGCCTTCTTTTTGCATTGATCATGTCCTCTAATTAACTTTCTTGTCATCTGTTGGGCTTCTTTTTTTTTCCCAAACTTTTGTCTTCTTTTTTTGATCTATATTTCGAAATGTTGGAATAGTTGCAGATAAGATATCAAACATGGAATTAGTACTCTAATTATAAACATGTAAATTTTCCAACTCCTAATTTTTGCATATTGCCGTAGGTTGGATTTAAAGCATGAAAGATGATTATTTTGTATGCTAAATGAAAATGGTTTGACTTTAATTTGAATTTGAATTTGTTGTTAGTTCAATAATTCTTGCATATATATATATATATATATATATATGAATTATCTAGCAAAGGTATTTTCTGCTTCTTTAAGGTTTAATCATTTCAGAAAACTCTATTTATTGTTATGGTTACTATCACTGATAATTGTTATGGTATAATCTTCAGTCTTAATTATCATTTTATATTGTCGTATATTGTAATATTTATCTTGAAAATATTGTAAATATCGCAATTATAAACAGGACTGTAAAAAAGTTTCTTTTTTTTTTTTTTTTTTTATCTTCCTTTTAATGTCTTCTTAATAGATATTAATTACTCAATGGAAAAGATATGATTCATTTCAAATGATAAAATTAAAACATTAAATAAAGGATAACTCGACTTATACATGAACTATGAACATTATTACAATTATCAACGATGATGATATTTTAGATCAATGACCTCATAAATGCTTATTCTTATGAATCTCAAATGATCAATGAAATCAAAATTATGTTATCTAGATTAAAAAAAAAAACTTTATTTTATTACTCCATTTAAATGATTTGTGTTAAGAAACGTTAAGTTATTTAACCATTAACTGAATATATTTCATCAAATTTAGTAAGCATTTAATAATTTGGCATATAAATTATTTTCAATTATTGCTAATTTATTTTTCATTTTTCAAGTTTTTTTTTTTACGATTAAATTATTAGTTATCTTAGCTACAAAAAAAAAAAAGGATAACTCGAATTACAATTGTGAACGATGAAAACAAAATTTACACGTCAAAAAAAAACAAAATTTATACGCTGTAAATAGCATAAATTATTAGTTATCTTACCTATAAAAAAAAAATGAAAACAAAATTTACACGTCAAAAAAAAAAACAAAATTT